GATGGACCAAATTTTAAGCTTTGATGGCACAAATGTGCCCAAATGCTGTGTATGTGTGTATATATGTGAATTGATTGCACACAAGCCCCTCTGTTTGTGCGTGTGTGTGTGTGTGTGTGTGTTTGCATGCCATTAAAGTGCAGCGTTGACCATGGCTATGAAAGTGTTTGCCAATGCGTTAATTAGGCCAGACCAAAGAGCTGCAGCAAAGCCAAATGCTGCGTCAATTTGCTGTGCACACACACCACACACACGCGCAAAGTTAACCACTTGTTTAGCTGTTTATGAATTATATTAAAAAACGTGACATCAAACGAAACAACTTCGATGCCCTTTTGCGTGTCTAATTAGCTTGTTCTAAGAACTCGTCCTGTTTGCATTTGCCGAGAGAGAGAGAGATACGACTGCGTGGCACAACAATTACACCCGTTTATTCGTATTCAAATCCGACCGTAAATGTAATTAAGCTCATGAGAATTAAACGTAAATTTATTTTGCCACCGAGCGGACGAGTGCGCAGCTCTCGTTAAGCGCCCAACAAAAAACCTCACGCGAAAATCCTTTCCTAACCTCTTAACCTTCTCCTCTCCGCTTCGGCTAATTTCTCTGTGGGCAGCGGGTGCGGGGGGCTTGTGCTTTAGTCAAATACTTGGGGGAATCGGTCTACGGTTCGGTTCGGTTTCTGGTCGCGTGTCGCATATAAATTGGCTCATTGCTGGCTTCTTGTCTGCCGTAATTTCATCTTCCTTTTTGGTGATAACAATTTCGCGTTTTTTATATTCTTCTTGAGTGTTCACTCGTTTTCTTGATTGTTGCGTATTTTACATTTCTTTTTTGTCGAATGGATTGAATTATGGGAATTTTTTTAGAGGAATATATTAACGAAAATTGAAGCTTTCGGTTTAAAGATTCGAATTGTGCAGAATTTAAATAAAAAAATAAATAATATATATAAAGGATACATAAATTTTAAAATCGAATATACAAATATTTTACATAAGCTAGAATAAAATTCTCCCCAAATTCCGATTCAATTGAGCCAAATTGTCAATTTTATAAAAGCAAATGCCCGCACATGTTTCTCGATGAGCGCTTACACAACTCGGTAAATATTTGCCATTTTTTTTCCCAACTAAATCAAGCTCCCACAATATCTATGCTATTGCCAAAAAGAAGTTGTTGTGCCCCCGAGCATCGACAACATTAAAAACCAATCAAGCTCATTGTCACATAATCAGCCCTGACACACACACACACACACACACACACACACACACACACACATGCACAACACAAACACACACATACACAGCTGCACACACATGTTTTATAATATATTTTTTATAAAGTCTGTTGTAGTCGTCGTATCATGGCACACTCACACCGAAAAAGACGAACAGCCCATAATAGTTTTGGCTTATGAAAACAAATTCAATCTGGAAGCTGCTTATGAAAATGTTTATGCAAGACGTGCGCAAACTGTGTGGGCTGAGGGTGGAGGGAGGGCAGTTGGAAAAGCAGCACCGCATTGCCGGAAAAATTAATGTCACATGACAGCAGAGTGAGTGAGTGCTGCGCGCAAGTGAGGGCGGGCAACTGGGCGTGGCAGCCATGCATTTTAGTCAGATAAACAAGCACGAGTCGAGTTAGGGCAGGGCTCGGTCGGAAAGGAGGGGGAGGTAGGGTTATAGCTGTAGGGGTTGTGTGCCCTGACTCTTGGTACAGTTGCGCAGCAAAGTTGACTCTGACAAATTGAAAATCATTGAACAGCGAAAGTAAAATGCGCACCTAAGCAACAACGAGAGGGGGTTGCAGAAGATGCATGGCAATGGCTGTGTGTGTGTGTGTGTGTGTGGGATGGCTGCTGTGTTAGTGGCTTAGTGAAAAATAGTGTAGCATACATTTAAGCAAATTGCAATTAAGGTTGGCTACGTTTGCACAATGCTTTGTTTAGCTATCCGATATTCAAAACCCGCATCCACACCCCAAACAGGGCGACCCACTTTCAGCCGTTTCCATTTGCCGCTTGCCGCTCGACAAAGTGCGCCAATATGCCACAAAGTATGCAACAATTTGCAGCATAAATACTTTGTACGCTGCCAACTGTGTGTCAATGCTTCCCCCAGTCTCTTTCTCTTGCTTCTGCTCCGTGTGCATTTGCAATAAACGCCACATAAATGTTGCATATGCCGAACGAGTTGCATTTTATTTTTCTAGCTTTTGGCTCCTGCACACGCCTCCGCCCCTAAATGGCAACAGCAGAAGCAGCAGCACCCGTTTTAATGGATCTATGTGCCCCGTTTCGTAGCCATTTTTCACTAGCAGCAACAGCTGCAAGCAGCATTGCACTACGGCAGGTGCAGGAGCTGCAAGGGCAGTGGGTTAGGGGGTAGGCTAGCGTTTATAGCTGCTTGTTGTGTGTTGGTGGTAATGTTGAAAATGCGCCTGGTTGATCTTATGTTTATTTTGTCGTTCATTTTATGGCTGTTTGTTGCATTATTGCGCTGTTGCCGCATTTGACAAGCGCCTTGGGACATGAATGCGTTGTTGGCAAAATTTACTATGCATTGCCGCCAAACTTCATCAAGCAACATTCTTACACCTTGTTCCGAAATTTCATTGAAACAAACTTACTTGACTGTCAATTATTACAGTTAGCTATTTGTTGCGTCACTCGCTGTTGCCAAATTTCACTATAGCTCACTTCACTTAGCAACATTCTAAGCACCTCGATGCCGAACTTCGCCGGAACTTTGTCTAAACACCTCCTCGTAGAAGCTCCAGCAATTACTTGCACTTACCGCTGGCGTTCTTGTCGAACTTCATTAGTTTACATTATTTGCAATTTCCGCACCTAATTGTGGTCCACGTGTCGTATGAGTAACTCGCATGCAAATAAACCCAACTAAGCAAGTGGAGTTAAATTGCCATCGCACACTTTGCGCTTCATAAAAACTAAACTGCAACTTCCGGAACTCTCGCCGAACTTCCACTTCCACCTGGCGCTTTGCTCATAATCTAAAATAATTTTGTGTGCGCGCAAAATTTACACCTGAGACGACGTCGTTGGCGTCGTCGCCTTGCGTGTGAACATTTTCCAGCAATTGCATGCAACAATTCCCGCCCCACGGTACCGCAAAATGCTTAAACATTTTAGGCACGCTTCCGCCTGCCAGCTGCCCAACCTCGGGGCAATGAAATTCTTTCTCTCTTACACTTGACCTGGCCAAAGACTTGAGCTTCGCGTCACGCATACGCCCCATGCGCCGGGCAACAAATCAGCGACCCGTCTCTGAATTTCAATTAAAGCTCTGTGCGAGGTTGATTTTGAGGGGCAATAGCTAAAATGAATGACTATGTTTACCTCTTGCCCCAGGCTGTGGCACGTTCCGAGTTTAGGAGCATTTATTGACTAGCGCTCAGCATGTGGGTGAAGCAGAAGCAGCCGCCGTGGCCCAAAAATTTATCTATGGCTTATTTGCTTAAGGCCAAGTTTTAAATTGAAATGTGCTGGCAAGCTTTTGATGATGCGCTTGCCACATCGTTTTTTAAAGCAGTAAAATTCGCATGCAAACTGTAAACGTATTAAAAGCTTATTTTATCGGAGGAACTTCTAGTTTTGACTGGCCCCAGTCATAGCTTCAGGCAACTGGAACTAAAACCGAATAGAAAAAGTATTTGCTGCGAGGTGCGAAGGATTTAATGCCATGTATATTTAAAAAGTAGAAAAAGTAAAAAATCCTTCTGAAAAATATGTATAAATTTGAAATATTTGCGAAATTTCAATCTAAATGGCACAAGGTTTAAGCACTTCGTCCTCTGTCTGTGTAGGGCCGAAACCCAATTTGGAAGCCAAAAACTAACAAGCATAAAAAAACAAATAGCAGCAAGTGGCGAGCGTTGAGCGCGCAACCCTGTGTGGATTTTTATATAAATATTTTGTCAGGTAGAATCGCCGACGATGGAACCAGCGTAAACAAACGGTTGCCGTTGGCGTGTTGGGTCCCAGCAACTAAATCAAATCAAAACAAAAGCGCAGCTTAAAGCAGAAAAGTGAGAAGCAAAGAGAAGGACAGTAGTCAAGTGGCATGCAAATTCCAGTAACTGACGTGACATTGATAAAAGTTTGAAATCTGGACTTTAAATCGCGTCAACTTTTGCGTACATGCGTTGAAAGTTTATGAAGTAAGGCCTTGGGAGCGTTTTCTTTATAGTGTGCCCAGCTAGCATGCTACATACACATTGCCCAGCGATATTTTGACAGTTTGTAACGCTATTCGAAATGAGAAATTGGGGGTTGGCGGCTTTGGCGTTACGAATATGTATGTTGAGGTTTTGTATGGGCGGTAAATCTTTGCTGGACTTGCCTTGTTATTGGCCTGTCGATGGGCTATTGGGGTATACTGTTATTGTGTGTTACAGTGGGAGAGGAAAGCGCATTTGCTGCTTAAATTTCATCGAATACATTCCTTTTACTATGACATCCCATATCCCGAAACCTTTTACTGGCAATTACAAACTGCGCATTTTTGCGCCTCTCTTTGCGCTTCTCATGCACTGTACTTTGGCTTGCAGCTTGTTGCAATGAAAAAATTCAATTAACTGGCTTGCCAAGCCGCAGCTGGCATAAAAAAGTAACCACAACCAACCAAGGCCCAGCTACCAATTCTGGCTACTGCTTCTTTGACTCGAATGAAAGCGTAGGCAAAAAAATTTTTTTTCGGCTTTAAATTGGAGTTTTCACAAACTGGCTAGCGACTCGCTTCAACAACATCAAACACAACATTTTGCATGCAACAACAAAACGAAAAAAATTAAATAAAATAGAAAAAGTTGTAATATTAATATAAGCATATTTTTAAGTTTTTTAATTAATAAACTCGTAATTATTTATGTGCTTTTTCTTTTTTATTTTTCTTTGGTTTTTTCGATTCTTGTTTAAATTGTTGTTGCATGCAAAATGTGTATAACAAATTGTTGAATTGCACCAAAAACTGTAGTTGCAACAATACAAACACAACATCGCAACAACCACCACCACCACCACCACCACAACAACCACCAACAACAACAACACCAACAACATCATCACCACCACCACCAACAACACCATCAACAACAACTTGTTGCCCCAGCTCAAACGCACAATCTTGTTCCATTTAAAGAGCCACCACTTTTGGGACCAGGCACCGCCTTCCCACCATTCGGTGCACCCGAATACCATCCCACCCAGCCGGATAACTGGAAGGGCGCCGCCATCCATCCAACTGGCCTCATGAAGGAGCCAACCGGCGTTGTTGCCGGACGCAATGCGCCAGTCGCCTTCGCTCAACAAGGACAGGCTCAGGTGAGTATCGAAATATCCCCTATTGCCCCTAGCTCCACCCATTCTAGACTCCACTGTCTTGGCTTGCAGCTTTATTTCTTTTCATAAATATAATTTTAATTTTAATGTACAATTTCTGCGCACGCTGCAATCCTTGCCAGAGGCAAAGCCACATCCCACAAATACCCGCCAGCTGCTCCTGCTGCATCTGGACAGCATTTTAATTAATTTGTTGTTACATTTTTTTCTCTTACACTTTCATCCTCAGGGCGCTGTCATGATGGTCTATGGCATGGACCATGACACTTCCAACACAGATAAGCTCTTCAATTTGGTCTGCCTGTATGGCAATGTTGCCCGGGTAAGTTTCCCCCAACTTTAAACTATATTAATTTGTTATAAATTGCACAAAATGACAAAATGAAAATCTCGGACTTGCGACAGTTCAGATCTTCTGGTTAAGCCTATAAGTTAATTAATTGTTTGTGGATAATTGAGGGAAAGGCGAAAAAATTTCGAATATAGAATAGATTGCTGTAATACGAAGCAGGGTTTGATAAAATAGTTCGAAATTTGATACGTGGCGTTGCCACTTTGCGCAACAAAAACGTTATAAGTACAACACTGAACTTAAATCTCTTGAATTGCTACTTTGAAGGAACAGCTCTTGTGTCATATTTGACCTTTAAAAAGTGGGCGGGAATGCTCTTAAACTTGCACTTAGCAAGATGACACGAAAAAAAGACGCCGCTCGTTTTGCCGTCAGCAAGAATTTTTGTCGTGGCCCCTAAAAATAGTGTTGCTAGCTACAAAACCACAAGACATTTCGTGAGTGTGACTCCCATTTGTAAATGTGCAAATAAAACGAAAGGCAATAAAATTGAAGGCACAGGCCAGGCAAGAAGCTAAAGCAGCCCCTAGGCCCGTACAAACGTGGGGCAGTTGGTCCACAGCAAAGCACATTTAGATAAAGCGTTTTAGATTAATTCGAGGACATGTGCGAAGAAGGGTTGGGCTATATGAGGGTTGTGTGCTCGCATCAAAGACGCCCGCGGCAGCAATCAGTGCAGCGTCATCAACTTGCCACACAAAATGCGAATAGAATTGATACCATTTTAGAGTAACACAAAATGCTCGCTAAAAAATAAATCATACAGAAAGTATCCTTTAAAAATAAACCCAAATACCTTTGCCAAATGACAATTCAAATGGGCGCTCAATTGTACGAGCGGAGCGCTTGGGGAGCATTTAGCGCAACTATTGTGAGCCACGCAGTCGCCGCCCACCTCCCGCCGCTTGCCACTAACAATGGCGATAAAAAAGAAAACTTGAAAGGAATGGGGGGAAATAAACCGAGCTCGGCGACATCAAAGTCGAAAATGGTAAAAAGAAAAATGAAAAGTAAGTTCCTTGGCAACAGGACGACTCGCTTTCACTTTATTGCCACTAAGTCGCTCGCTCTGTGTATGCGTCCTTTGATAATTGCGCCTGGGCACAAGGACAACGCAAAACGAAGTCAGTTCAGTTTCGTTTTTTTCACTCAAACAAAGAGCATGACCCTTGAGGCTTCTGCAGGAATGCAACATAAATGTATACAACGGGGGAGTTGTTTTAAAATCTTTAGACTTGGGAATAGGTGAAAGGTTACATAAATTGTTGCTCTTTAAAGTTAAAAAAAAAAAAGAAGTATATACAACATGGCAACGTTTTCCAAAATTCACTCAAATTATATGGCAACGCCAATGTATAAAACCATATCGCAACACTTTTATTAGCAGATAATTTTATAGTTCTCACATTCACAGCGTTTCGTTGACCATATGGCAACGTCACATAGTAACTGTAGTTAGCTTATCTTTGACCATATGGAACCATTTTTATCTAAAGCGTAGTTTCCACTTCATAAATCTCAGCATTCGCCACTAGCCAATTTTTCAACAATTGCGCTACATTAGCCTTTACGGCGCTTTACAACACGGACACACGCACACAGTGGGGCACCCCAGAAACACACACGCTCCACTCCGCCCCGCCTTATGTGCTTGTTCACGCCCAGCCACAATTAAATGCAATTTACGCGCAAAATAAAAAGAAAAGCAGAAAACTTTTGACCTGAAACCAAAAGCAAACAGCGGACAGTCACCAACATGTTTGGTCAGTGGTGCTTGGGGGTAGGGATTGAAGTCGGGATAGTTGGCTAGGATAATTCAAGGCACAGGCAATTTAGTTCGCTAGGGTGGCCGACGCCCAGCTGAGATTTATAACAAACTTCCTGTCCGAGACGGAAACTACTCATTAGCCATTAAAAATGATTATGCGCAAACATTATTCACTGGCTCCTCTCGCTAAGCCACAAAACATGCATTGCCCCCTCTCTCTCTCACGCTCCTTCTCTCTTTCTTCCACTTCCACTCTCGAGACACAGGCCAATCTCTAGCTGCTCCGCCCACTCTCATTTTCTCTTTTACATTGAGCTCTAAAGAAGCCAGCCACGTGCTATGCCAACCTCATTATAAACTAGCATGTCTGTGTGCATATGTATATGTGTGCATGTATGTGTGCGCGTGTGTGTATGCTTTCCATCAGTTTATGTCCGACATGTTTGAATTGCGAATGAGAAATTGATGGGCACTCAATCAAAGTGCGCTGCCTGAACTTGAGGCTCCTGTTGTTGGTGTTAATGTGCGTCCCAGCCACATCGCAGGCGCATCTCATTTTAAAGGCATGTGCTGTAGATTAGCGATAAAATATATACCGCTTGTGTGCATTGCATAACGAAACGGAAATACTCTTCCTATTCGAACAAGGTCTTATGATAAAATTTATAATAGCATTTGATGTAAAGCTTGTGCTTGCCATAAGGCAAGCCTGATCAAATTTTGAATTCATTTTGCCCAGCCTTAAAGCAAAAAAAAGGAGATTCGATTATCCCAGTGAATTAGGGGCAATCAACCAACAGATGAGGTAGATGATAGGAACAGCCCGGGAGTATGTTTTGTGTACCCCGCGTCCAGGCTCTGACCCAATTTTCTGACTGTAATTGTCAAAGCACACATCAAGGCGGTTATCCAGCTACCTTTTGCTGATGTGTTGATTTTGCTTTAAACTAGACGAAAGTGCCGAGCAACGCCTGGCAAATCGATTTAATTATTTTTCAGCTGCGATGAAGTCATCGGCCAAATTGATTTTCAGGTTAAATGGCTTTGACAAAAGCGAGGCAAGAAGCCAAAAGCGGTAATATCTTTAAACGCAGACAGCAGCGACAACAACAGCTGGCAACAACCAGCAGCAGCAGCAGCAAAAACAACAACAATCACACGCACTCAATTAAATGCGCATTAAAAAGGCATTTGGCTCGTTTGGGGAGGGGTCATGTTGCCCTCTTGGGAATTGGGGATGTGCGTATTTGGGCTTGGTGGAAATCCTGGGCAACCATTGCAGCCAATATTCTTTCTATTGTTGTCGGGTTTGTTTTTGTTGTAGCCACTGATGTTGTTGTTGTTTCCGCCCAGCGCGTGAGCAATTAAATCAAACAGCAGCAGACGCCACGCCACATTGAGCAGCAAACACAAATAGAGGATAGCCATGAGGTGTATTAAGCTTGAGAGAAAAAGTTGAATCGTTTGAGAATAGACTTAAATATATGATAGGATTGATATCAAAATAATTATTAAAAAGCCAAGACAGAGGCTTTGATCTATGGATTAACTAGTACAAAGCAACTAAAGAAAGATATTTTCAATAACGTACCAGTTTTAGATGCTTTCATCTATGATAAGAATAACTAATAAACACAAAACTCGTAGTAAGAAACTAAAATTATTTCCATATACCACATGCTCAAGAGGTTTTGATCTACTAAAATTAATAAAGGAGCCAGGCATAAGAACGACTAGTAAAATTAATAAAAAAAAATTGTGCAGGGTATCACGCAGCGCATCATAACACTCGCTAAATTGTACGCATTGTTTTAATTAACGCAACATACGCATTCAAGTATCTGATAGGGAATTGGTTGCTGGGCGTCCAATTTTGTGGCAAGTGCGAGCGGGTAGCTAGCTGCTAGGTGGGCTGTGGAGGAGAGGCAGAAAAGGGCAAAGGGCAACAGCACAGCTCATTAGGCACGCACCAAATGTTTGTCGCTTCGCTCGCAATGCGAACCAGCTCTGACCGGTGGCCAGTGGCCAGTGAGCCATGAAGAGCGCTCTTTGATTTGTGAATGTCCTGGCGCCTGTTTTGCGTGTGTCCCGTACGTCGCCGTATGGGGCATGCCCCCCCTCCTAACCATTTGCCACAGATTTCATAAATGCCTTTTGTTTTAGCTGCTAGCTGTTTGCTGCTTGGGAATTGGCGGGCTATCTGCACGCTTTCTGCCTCACTGATTTATGGTCTATATTTATTTATATATACAATTTTATTTTGGGTTTTCGTGTCTGGATTGTGTGGGGCGCCTACCTTTCGATAAGCCTCATTTAGTTTTCATTCACTCTCTCTCTGCCATGTTTTATTCGTATTCATTCGGATTCCTGCTGCCAGTCAAGCGTATGCGCTTCGATATGTATACATAAATAAATATATAATATATATGGTATATAATATATGGGCTTATATATGGCATAGCATAAGCTGCAGCTGCCTCGTGTCTGCTTTCATTTGATAGCAATATTTCGCTTGTACGTTAAGCTTCTTTCTTAAAATTTTAACAATGATTTTTCCAACCATAAACTGTAATCTGTTTGCCTTCGGTTTTTGCTAGCGGAACTTTTATTCAATTTAAATTATTTACTACTTAATTATGTGCAAATTTGTTTTTGCAAATTAAACAATGAATATTTTATGGAAGGATAAACTCGTTTAAGCAGATCCAAATTTTATGTAATGTAAACAATTGTAATAGTCTACTGGCTGGTCAAACACAGGGTGTGTGTGTGTGTGTGTGTGTGTGTACAAGCCAAGATAAGTTAATTCCTTTAGAGCATAGTGTATTTATATATTTTAATTTTATTTGATTTGAAATTATCTCTCTTGAATATATTAAATTGGTAGATTACAAAAATAAAAATAAATAAATTGAAAAAAAAATAATTTAAAAATAAAATATGCATAGAAATGGAGGAAATTTAGCTTTAGCTTGAACAGAATTTGAAAATAATATTAAACATATTGATGAAATAATGCAAACGGTAGAAAAAAGTTATATTCGTTTAAAATTGCAAGAATGCAAAAAATATGAAGAAAATAACATTTCTTGCGTATTGTTCCCAATTTTTATGCTCTACAAATGTTCTATATTTTTTCGCTTCGCTTAACAACTTCAGCTTAATAAAAAATGTCTTGTTGAGAAAATATTGCGGCACTTGACTTGATTGCCATAGTTTGTTTTTGTTGCTGCTGTTGAATGAGAGAAGTTGTTTGTGCTGCTGCTGCTGCTGCTGCTGGTTGCAACAAAAACCAACAAACAATTTGCCTGTCACTTTCAAGTGGAAACTGGCCCAAGACCATAACACTAAGACAGCCTGCAATTATTTGGCCAAAATGCCGCCTGCAGTTATAACTCAGTTGACCCAAGCTCCAAGCCAAGTTGGGTAATTTTCAGCCGCTAAACTGCAACAAATAAATCACAATACAAAAACAAGCCACGCAGTACAAAATGACATTTGTGTGAGCGCATTTTTTTTTGTTTATGGAAAACTTGACTTAAATGCACCAAATTGGCGGCATTTGAAAACAAAATGAAAATCAAAATATTGCGCACTGCCAATTTGGTGCTGCAGGTGCAAAAACACGTTTTCACTTATTGAGTTCAATGCCTCGCAGCAGCAGCAGCCGCAGCAGCAGCCGCAGCAGCAGCCGTAACAGTAGCTGGCCGCGTTGCAAATTCAATTGCCAAGTTAACTAACGGCCAAGTTAACTAACCGACCAGCCAAGCAGCCGAAACAGCCAAACGACCAACCTGCAACATTTTCCATAGATTTTTCACTTTCACCGTCGTGTAATTATTGCACTCGAATTGGTTAATTAAGTTTATGGCTGCCGCCGCCGCCGAAAGAGGTGCCAAAAGGCTTGGCCGCAAATAATTGAGGGCTTATACATATTTATGCTAACAATTAGTTTGGAAAGTGCACTTAAAACCTTGCCAAAACTTTACTAATTTAAAACGCGGTTTAACGCTCTGTAAAATGTTCAAACTGAGCCCATTGAATTTTCGCAACCACATCCTTAAGTATATCCAACTGACACGTGTTTGGACTCAAATGCCGCTATGCTATAAATTAAAAAACCATAGGTTGGTTTAAATTTTACAAATTCCAATAGCTAAATATAAGCATATGCTACTCGCATTTACCGATTTCTACAGGACATTCAAACTCTATCGCTATTTTTGGTAATTTGTCACGTACAACAAAATATACCATAATATATATATTCTACAAAACTCATAGAATGTGGCACATCGTGGGATAACACAATGTCTGCGAAATTAAGGGCCTCATTCAATTAGATAATTTCATTTTGAAATAAATTTTAAATTGAATTCAATAAAAAAATAGCTAAATTTGCCCCACGTTCGGGCTTATACGAGGTCCGGCCAAGGACTGAGTAAGAGTAAAGAGGTAGACACTGCAAGAAAATTCAATCAAATGACAACAGACAGCTCTACACATTCGATGAGTGTCAATATGATTGTTGGTCAGAATTGCGTGCAAGACACGTAAATGCACCTGCCACAATTGCATTTAATAACATTTGCGACATACATTTGCGGTGACGGTTGCAATTATGACAACTGGGAAGCTGAAGCTGTAGCAAACGCTAATGGTAGAGTTCGGGGTAAATCTCATGGTATAGTTCGGGGTAAATCTCCTGGTATAGTTCGGGGTAAATCCCATGGTAGAGTTCGGGCTAAATCTCATGGTAGAGTTCGGGCTAAAGCTCTTAATTGAGTTCGGGGTAAAGAATATGGTTAGGAAGCCTTTAAGCTGACAAACAAGACGGATAACCCCAATTAACATCTAATAAATAATTGTATTTGTTTTCCCTTCTGCAGATCAAGTTCTTGAAGACAAAGGAGGGCACCGCCATGGTACAAATGGGCGATTCGGTTGCCGTTGAACGTTGCGTGCAGCACTTGAATAACATTCCCGTTGGCACTGGCGGCAAAATACAGATTGCATTCTCAAAGCAGAACTTCCTATCGGAGGTGATTAATCCATTCTTGCTGCCGGATCATACACCCAGCTTCAAGGAGTACACTGGCTCCAAAAACAATCGATTCCTATCACCGGCACAGGCCAGCAAGAATCGCATTCAACCACCGAGCAAAGTGAGTGCAAGCTAAACGAGATTTTAATTCAATTATTTTATTTATATATATTCGTATTCCTATTAGATCTTGCACTTCTTTAACACACCGCCCGGTCTGACCGAGGACCAGCTTATTGGTATATTTAACATTAAGGAAGTGCCAGCCACATCTGTGCGTCTCTTCCCCTTGAAGACAGAGCGCTCGTCTTCGGGTCTGATCGAGTTCCCCAACATTTCGCAGGCCGTGCTCGCCATCATGAAGTGCAACCATCTGCCTATTGAGGGTAAAGGTGAGATAGTGTTGTGTTTAAGTGTTTTTCAAAAAACGAAACAAATCAAAAATTCGGCTATTTAAAAATTTTGTGCATATGGCCAGTAAATATAAAAAGAATTTGAGAAAAAAGTTACACAAAATTTTCGCAAAAAAAAAAAGAAATCCACAACTTCCCACACCACCACAACCCCAAAAAGTAGGCAATATGCAAAAGTTAGGGCACCATTCTCGCAATGGCCTCTTGACATTTGCTGCCGGCCCACTAAACCATCACACCAAAACACAACCCAGCACACACCCAACCCCAAACCCACAAACTCACCAACCCCCAATCCCCAAACCCAACCACTCAAAACAACCAAATAACAGAGCCTCGCGCCAAACTTTTGCTCTTTCATTTTCTTTGGCTGCGCAAAAGTTGTTAGTTATGAGTCGCGTTGAAAATTTTAATTTGGTAATTAAGATAAACAATTTCGGTAGCCAGTTATTTTATTTTATGGGTTCCCAAACCCCCCTCAGCCACTCCTGCGGCAAAAGCTATTATAACATCTGCTCAGTAGCTCCCTTTCTAGCTAGACGACCCATTAAACTTTTACCATAAATACTCTAGAGCAATTTTTGTCGGCAAGCTCCGATTATTATTATTTTCATGTTTACATTTAGCTTTTATTTACCTTGTCAACATGGGCTACAACATTTTCCAGCAACTGTTCACAAAATAATCAACATTTGATTGCCAATCGATTTGCCCATTCACTTACATTTATGGGAATTATTTCTAGAAAATTGGCACCTGAGCCGCATTCAATGCCAAAGTTCTTGTTGCGGCTAATGCAACACAGTCGAGGTCGTTGTTTTAGTAACTGGATTTTACAATGTATCAGAAATAAAATAGGTCCATTTCCATTTTCCCAAAATCCAATTAAATTATTATCAATATCAAATAATCGATGGAATGCTTATCGACAATCGATAACAATCAATCGTTTCCAGTGATATGCATTCGTTCACTCAACCTAGTTGCCTGCTGCGTGCTGTAGCTGTCTATGCGAAATGCCTTGCCCCGAATAATTGGCATGCATTGGCCTGGCATTGGCACACCTTTTCACAGGTGTTGCCATTGCCGAGTAATGCAAATGTGTTGCCTGCACAAGGGTATTCTGCCTATCATTGTTTACACCTTGCGTAAAAATCTTTTATGCAAATACCTGAGCGCAACGAAAGCCTTGCGAGGTGAAGCTTAAGCAGGTAAACGAGCAGGAGACGTGTGTGTATGTGTGCGTGTATATGTATTTTGTCAATATTTTGGTGGGTGCTTGCATATTTGTTGTTGATGCATTTCTGCTGCTGTTGCTGCTGCATCGAGTGCCCGCTCGAGTGCATGGTAAATAGTAATTAAAAATGTAAGGAATGCAAATACACTCACACAGGCGCACGCCCACGCACACACACACACACACGCAGTGCAAATGTTAAATGCAAACAGCTGCCGTTGCATACTTTCGGGCTGTAAAAATTATGCATCTAGCAAAATATTTTGCAAGCCCTCGTTCGCACACGCTGTCTCTCTCTGTGTAGGTGTGTTTATGGGAATATATACACACACACACAACCACAGGCATAGATTTATGTGGTCGTATGCGTGTGCTCTGCTGATGGTTGGCAATTTTTACATCTGAATGGTTTTGATTGCATCGGACCCAAAGCATTTTTATGATGGCTCCCGCATTTAATTGCCACATAAAACACGCTTAGGCTGTTCGGTTAGTCGGTTTACCAAGTACCTTAACGATCTATCGGGCAATTCTAGCCCCTTTCTATAATACCCTCTAATGATGGAAATAGGGTAAAATGAAGGGCCTATATATAGGCTCTCATGAAAAAAACGTAGCTCAAGTACTTAATCAATAAAGACCCAACATGAACTTTTTACTTCGATCAGAAGGCTCTTTGTTTACAGTTTACAGGGTATCAAGCTGCTGAACGTACATTTCTGCCAACTTAATGATTTTAATTGCACGCGGCGTCGTATAAAATCAGGGCCGCGTTGGGTCTTCGGTCATAAACATGGCCAACTTTTCTGATTGCGCAACAAAGTGGAAATTAAATGCCTATTTCCTTTTATCAACCACCCCCATACACACCCCTCCTATTCACCACTCCCCACCCACGCTTCCTTTCATTTTTCCGTCCCATCATGAAACTCTGCGAAAAGCAAATAACTTGATTCAGATATACAACACTTATACACATTACTACAACAATACTATAAAAAACAGCTTTTTAGCAACGAAGGAACCCCATTTATTCTATAACTATGCAATTTTCTTTGCCCCTCTTTTTTATCCAACTCTGACACTTTAGGCACCAAATTCCCATTCATCATGAAGCTGTGCTTCTCCTCTTCGAAGAGCATGAACGGCGCCTGGAACAATGCGGCCAATGAGGGCATGATCGAGAAGGAGAATGACGGCGATGTCAAGGTGGAGATTTACAATTGAGATTTGATTACCATTGTGTAAGCAGCCAACAACCAGCTGAACAACACAACAAACAACTACACAACAACAACAGCAGACAACAAATAACAAATATACAAATCATACAGAACTGGAGGAGCTGAATTTATGTGGAGCATATTGGATCGCGATGAGAAGAGAGGCAGACGTACACAACAACAACAAAGCATATTAAATATTTCAAACACAAACAAATTAAATTCAAATATTGATGGAACGAACATACTGAGTGTAGTCAAGAATAACAAGAAAACTGATTACATATATAAATAATAAAATTAAATTATTGACACACACACACACAAGCACACCTAATCCCAACACACTAACAAATTAATAACTAAACTTTAACTAAAAGAAAATTAATGGATAAAAAACACAACACGCAAACGCATGTAACTTTTAAACGCGCCATTTACTTGTATTTAAAAAAAATCGAATCACAATTGAAACATAATCCCTACACATTCATGTACAAAATGGCGGCGTTCAAAAGCTACACACACGCTCACACACAGCCACATACACACACATACACACACACACACACCCGAACTCACATCGCACACAATTAAACTGAAACACTTTTACATGCGTTTGCGTCACAAGAAAAAACATACAAGAAATGTTATTGAAATTGTGTGGAAGAATAGCAAAAAAAATTAGGTTAAAAAATTGTTTAGTTGCATTCAAAAACAAAACAAAACAACAAAACAGAAGAAAACAAAACAAACACCAAAACATTGACAAACGAAAATGTTTAGTTTTTTTTTGCTTTGAGTTTGTAAAGTTTCTCGTGTGTGTGTTGCACTTGATGAAATTATAGCAAAACAACAAATTGTAAACAATGTAATATGCAATTTATATATTATAATAAAAACATATATTAAACACACACAAAAAACGCAAAAGCAAAAATTAAAAACAAGAAATCAACTGACTTTCAACTACATATATATACATATATATTTTAGTTAATTATATATCATTTAGACTTATGTACGATATGGGATGAAAACAAAACAAAAAAAAACACAAATGCAACAACAAAATTTCTTTGGACAATATTTCGACAAGTATTCACGTGTGAGACAAAAATCTGATGCTAAAAACAAAATATTTATTGAATCAAAAATATTTAAAAAAAAAAAAGAGGAAAATAATGCGAGAGCGCAAAACGTGTAAAATTAAACCAAAAATTTAGCAATTTTAAATCAAATTTATTAACTTTAGTTTATGCAAATTTCAGCAAATTTCTAAAACTAAAAAAAGAAAAAAGGAAAAACTTGCACAAGCCAATGTTTCTTTTTATTATGATTTTTTCTTTAAATTAAATATTAACAAAAACAAAACGACAAAAAGACAAGAACATTAACATTAATTTATGTGCTTAATTTACAAAGGTTGAAAAAGGCATAAATTTATATGTATGAGCTGTATATGTATTTAAATTTATATTAATTATAATTTTACACTAAATGTAAAAAGCGACAACAAAACTAAAACAAACTAAAATTATAATAACTAAAACAATTAATGCATAAAAAGCATATTAAATTATAAATTACAATTAAGTGCAGAGCGAAATTGAGACAGGCAGAAACATACATAAAACTTAAAAGAGAAAAAATAAATAATACAAATATTTTTGAGGCGTTTTAAGCTTAGAAGACAAGAGAGCCAAACATTTCAAAACTCCAAATAATTTTGGCGTGACGCATAAAAAACTATAAATAAAAATAAATTAAAAAAAAAACAAATATCAGCAATAAAAGCAACAGTAACAACCATATCAAAGGCGTATGTTAGATTAAATGAATAATAACAAAAAAAAATATAATAAACAAATAAATTACATTTAATTTCATTTAATTTTAAAGCAACTGCAGCTAGTTATAAAATGAATTTTTTATTATTTTTAGAGTCTGTATATTAGGCAGGGCGAAGTTCTATATGACACCTTTGTTCTTAAATGCAAATCAACGAATACTATATGCTATATAGAGCCGTTAAACGAATTTTTCATACACACACGCATACATATATATTTCATTTTTTATTACTACGTGCAATTATTGCTTTAATTAAATAAAAACAAACACTTCATTAATTCTATTTAATTTATTTGCAATTCTCTGCTCATTCGTTTATTTCATCTTTATTTCAATTTTTTTAAACGCGTCTTAGTTTTATGTAAATTGTTGTAAATCGTATAAATTGTAAAATATTTTTCTATAATTAAGTATAATTGTACTTAATTTAAACAATTAAAGCATATTGATTTATAGACAGAGGATAAAAGAAGCAAATCTCGTTAATTAAATCATACAATTTATTTTCTTAAGAACCTAAAGCAACAACGATCTTGAAGCTCCTAATTAGTGCATAAACAAATAAATAACATAATAATCTAAAATAAAAAATATAATAAACTAATTCAATAATGCAACAATTCAACTTGGTAGCTATATAATTTATATAATAAAATCAGAAACCATTCATATGGAATTTAATGCTTAAAAAAATGCAACATTTACATCGTTGCAACATTTTATTTTTAGTTTCTTATGAGTTAAAGCGAAAACAAAATATATATATATATCTATATATAGTTATATGTATAATTTGTTTTATTTAATATTTAAATTTTGTTGTTATTTTTTAACGCGTTTATTGTGTGCCCAAAGTTTGTAATATGCGCGCTCGATTTTTTGATATAAATATATATATGTATATGTAAAATTATTTAGCAATTCTATTTGTTTGTCTCATATATTCATTTACTTCAAGCTCTATACGGTAACGACATGGAAGAATGTTTTTTATATGTTTTTACAGGAATTGAAACGTGACAAATAATTTGCTTAATGAAAAAACTATAGATAAACTCGCATCAAGCCACATCCTAGCAAACGCACAGCCCTAAGCCCTCTTTCGTTTTTTATTTCAACAAAATGATAAACACGATAATAAACTAAACTATACCAAAAGATATGCCAAATTGTTAAAGCGTAAATCCTGAATTTTTAACATATCGAAATTTATAAGGCCGCTTAAGTTAAAACGATTTTACAAATTAGGCATTAAAAATGTATGAAAATGAAAAATGGTAAAAACCCAGAATACTTTCACTGAACAACAAAACTGCTAACAAAACATAATCCATTTGTTAAGAACAAAAACGAACCCTGATAAAATATAAAATAAAAGAAAAATAAGCGACAAAAAACGCCCAGCAAAAAATTGTATGTAAAATATGCAATGCTAGACCTAAGCAATGTTGAGTTAAGATAAGTGTGGATCATTTGATAAACAAACCTAACAAAAACTAAATGAGTCCTAGCCAAATTATTTTCATTTGATTTGCCTGCGTTAACAGTTCGTGAATTAGCCAAAAAAAAAAAAATTAAATTTACCAACTTTAGTAACAATTTTTCCACATTTTATTTAAAAACATTGGAAATCGTATATTAAAAGACTAGCTAAATTTCGTTAAAAGAAAATTAATTATGTTAAATTAAGGTTGTCAGCGAATTGAATTTGTTAAAAGATAACCCCCCCCGCCCCCCGCCTAAGTTTGCACAATTTTGCATTTTATTTTAAGCGCTTTTTGTAGCAATTTTTTGCAAATCGTTTAAATCCTTTTCGATTTGTATTGCCGCGTAGTTTTCAACTCTAAAAAAAAAACAAATGCGCATGGGGCACAAGGTAGGTGCTGTTTATACATAAATAACTCGAACGATATTTTTATCCCCCGTTTGACTCGAGCGATATACAAATCGTATGCTCTACACGGTTTTACTTAGTTCTTGTAATTCGCATACTACACACCAATTACACAACAACAACAACAACAAGAAAATGGACCAGTTTATTCAGCATTGAATTGACAACCACCAAGAATCAAAAACCAAATAAAAGAGAAATGAGAAATTATATACATTATATAAATTGATGAAACCGTCCAAATATGATTAAACAGCAACAACAAACAACACCAGACACCGTACACACGAGTTGAAAACTGCTAACAAAGAAAAAGAAACAACCTGCCTGTTGCGACTGGAAACGTTTTGAAAACATAATTACTTCAGGCAGTTATCGATAAATTATCGGTTTGCCAGCGCCAAATGAGCAAGTTGCTGATATATACATTTTGCTCATTATCTATTCAAAATCGAGCAATCGATGGTACTTATCGATAATGGTAATCAATATGTATCGATAACGAAAATTTCTTACATATTGCAGAGCTGAAAAGGGAAATGAATCTGGCTTCCCTCCGCCCTCTCTTTTCTGGCATTTTTGCCTAACAGAATTCGTTTGAATGCATTTTAAAACGTTCGCAAATTATCGAGTAATCAATATTTGTAATCGATAGTCGTTATCGATAACAAAAAGTTCACCAGATTGCAGTGCCGAAAAGGGAAAAGATCAGCTTTCCCCCGCATTCTCCTTCAGATACCTTTTAGCTGCCGCGCCTATAAGTATGCCACAAAATATGTTTGGAAATTGTTTTGAAATCGTTTTCAGTCGCACTGGCGGTTTTTATATGAATATTCCAATACCATGCTGCTTACACGAGTTACAACTACAAAGCTAAACAATGAAAAACATTTTATTTGCTTAAAAAAACAAAAAATTAAGCCAAAAACAATTTTCTATGAATGAACTTTTTACTTGCTAAACATTTTGCTATGATTTTGGTTTTTCCGAAAAACAAATTGAAGCAAATGAAAATAAAACAACAAAACACTAAAAACAAAACCAACAACTTTGTACACCGAAACGAATTCATAATAATCTATGATGAATATGCATATTGAGAGTAATCCAAAAAAACAAATAAACAAACGAAATGCTACATATGAGAAATGCATAAAAGATACAACTACAACTATATTCTTATAGGCTTATAGTTTATACTTACATACATACACATACATACAAGTACTTATATATACATTAAACAAATATTTACATATAAACTATATACTATATAACAGAGTACATACACACACGCATAGTAATACAATACACACATACATATGTGGCATATATGTACATACACATATATATACATATATATATATACGTATTTCACATATATATATATATATATATAAATGTATGCCTATATATAGTTTTTAAAATAAACAAGAAAAGAAGCAGCGCGTGTCAATTTTAAATGCAAGCTAAAATTAAATCCCCAAAAAACCAAAAGCGTAAATTGATTCGCTTTTGGCATGTTGAGGAAACATAACCAAACGTTTACATAATTACACCACAAATTACACAAACTACACCAAAGACAGACACAGACACAGACAGACATGACACAGACACAGACAAAGTTTTAAAACTAAAAATGAAAAGGACAACTGCATAGTGTAGTCGTACGCGTAATTACTGGTGATAATTTTGAAAAAATCTTAAAACATATTATTAACAAGTAAATACCAAAAAGAAAACAAAACAAAAAAAAATGGAAAAAAAAATATACTCGTACATTAACTTACACAACGTACTGTAATTGCTACGTAATCTTAGCAGCTATGAATTTTGTCCCCACTTCCCCCTCCAAATAGATGTCTATACTAAATATACGATTTATATATAAACATACACACACACATACATACACAGACACACTCACGCATATATATAATATATTCCGAAACTTTCCTAATTCAAGTAATTATCAAACAAGTTTTCGTGCACAAACAAACCAAAAAAGGAAATTAAAAACTTGAAGCATAGGCATTCGAAAATGAAGAGAATTTTGTTCAGTGTATTAGCGTATTAGGCATGGAATTTAGCAAACAGTATTTAGTTTTACCCATAATTGCAATATGTGCACATAAACCAACCCAAATACACACACAAACACGAACACTCACTCGCTCTCACACGCACACGCACACACACGCACTTTTGCGCATCTGTGTCTCTCATTTGGGAGCTGCTTGCGATTTAAGGCAACCTCTTCAAATAATTTATTGTTTCATTTTAATCGCAGGCGATTTCACTACATGTGTGTGTGTGAGTGCGTGCGAGTGTGCGTGTAGCTGTGCGCGCGTCTGGCATGGTAATAATTGCATACATTTGCGGCGCCTATTTGTTGGTGTGCGTTAACGTCTCATTGCGCTTAATTGCAAAATGTGAACTCCCTTAGCGACACTGTAGTGTTTTAAAGAGCACCGATTTATATATCGATAACAGAACTTCAATTCCTTTAAAACTTAAGAGCGAGTATTTTAAATTAAGAAACTTTCAAGAACATATTTTCACTAACAATTAAAGCAATTCCGATGCGAAACAATAAAGAAAAGCAAATATGGCTAGCAAATCGATATTAATCGATAGCAAATAATATATCGATCAAACGAGCGAATCGAATTTATACCTTTGGCTATTTAAAGCGTTAGTAAGCAATCGCTTATAGAACTTTTCGACATAAAGCCAACTATTTTCGACAGTATCGATAAGTTATCTTATCGCAGCCAACGGCAACAGTAGCGTCGCTTACGTAGGTACAGCTCGCAAATAGAAGCATTAGGCGCTTTAGTTAACAATTGCTCACTTGATATATTTGGCATCCAATTTAGCAGAGTGGACGAAAACGAGCAGCAGACCGACTCCTAGATTTATGTGACTCCAAAAGCACAGGACATCGACCGGTTGTAAACTAACACACACAGAGACTCATACACACACACACACACACACACACACTCACAACATAATGGAACACAAGACAAACACACTTTAGATATAGAGCTAGAAAGAGAGAGCGTGAAGTCCCAGAAAAGTTGTTTAATTTGGCGTGTGCAATAAATATATAATTTGACTTGTGTTTAGTTAACACAAATTCATCTTACTAATAATAATAATAGCAATGTTAATATGCAATTTAGTTGAATTTGCGTTGAACGTTTTAGTTTAGTTAATGCATTAATTTAATTTTAGACTCGATTGTATATGGCGGAAATAGTTCTTATAATTTCAGCAACATACAGATACGAATACACAC